CAGTAGCATAATTTCATTCATTCAGTTCCAGAAGAACTACTACGGAAAGTAAAGCACCGAGACAAGGTTACAACTGTAAAGCTGACGGGTCCAGGAAATTCACACATTTTTCTGTAAACGAATTCCAGCATTTTAAACTGGTGTTTGTGGCAGAACCTACACAACCAAACACATTTTACTTTGAAAAGGCGGCAGACGTGATGTAGCACTGAGATACTCATAGAATGACTTGCATGCAATATGATACTCTCCCATCACCCATGGGGGGCGGTGGGGGGGGGGGCAGACTCATACACCACCCAGAATCCCTCACTATGCACAGGAGGCCTTCTGCTGGTCTTATTTCAGCGTAAGAGCAGCATAAAGTTCATCCACTGTGCACAGGAGGCCTTCTGCTGGTCTTATTTCAGCATAAGAGCAGCATAAAGTTCATCCACTGTGGACAGGAGGCCTTCTGCTGGTCTTATTTCAGCATAAAGTTCATCCACTGTGGACAGAGGTGCTTGTAGCATGAAGCCGGATAATCGGGATCCCTGTAAAGACACAGCCGGCCGCATTCAGGCCCTAGGGGGCGCCACATGCCCCACAGAGCGTAGTCCTCAATCTGCCCCGGGCTCGGAAACCATACGACAGACGGGTGCCAAGGGGGCGGCGACCCGGGGGCCAAAGCGTCAGCTGCCGGCAGGGCTGATCGCCATGGAGACGGGGCCAAAGATACAGCCGCCTTCACACGGAGACGACTGCAGTGTGTCTGCCTGCCCACAAAAAGAGAACACAGCTCTCAGTTACTGTGGAATGGCAGGCTGACTGTGCTTTCTGAGATGAGTAACTACAGACCTGGTTTAGTTACTGTCAGGGGCTGTGCATTACTGATCCTGTTTACTGTCACAGCTTGTGAACTGTGTGGCTTGGTAATGTCACAGTTTCTATATTTTTGGGAGATGAAAAACTCTAATGGGGAAGATAAGAGATCATAACAAAGTGAAAAAGAGAGGATTACGTCTCTAAGGTGCTTTATTTCACACCCTCTGTTAGTCGCTTCCAGAAGAAAACAAAAATATACTGAGATCTGTTTCCTCTGTTCTACTTTTCTCAGATTAGTTCGTTATAGGATTTATGCTTAGACTCGCGTATTTCAGATTCTTCTCCTGAGACATCATCTTTGGAAATTTCACAGAAGGCTCGAGCTTGAATTATTTTTGTATGCTGTTGTTGTTTCCAATTGCAAATTATCAGGAAAAATTATTCACAGAGCTGGTGACACTGAAGCGTAGTCCAGCGACGATGCCTTTCAGGATGTGAACGGTGCCCGCTTGATATCAAACAAACCCACATCTACCCTGTAAACAAATAGTAAGCCTGTATTTTAATGCTAACTGTGGGGGGCAAATGCGCTGTGGTGTCATTATGAGAGAAATGATCTGGGCAGATAATGACATGGCAGGCTGTCGCCCCCCCTACACGGCGGCCAGACCAGCTCCCAGACAGACAGCGGTGCTGAGGAGCAGGCCTCTGTCTCCCCAGGAAATCACCGTATTTCGCGGGAGCTGAGAGTGCGAGGGTGCGGCTTGCGGGGAGTCGGAGGGTCATCGCGCACCTGCAGAGTGCAGTGCCACCGTGATTGCCTGCTGTTTGCTCTCCAGCTCTTCATATCCCTTATCCCCGGCTCACGGGACCCCCCCGGGCAGCGAGGGGATGAAAGCCAGCCCCCCTGCATGCCTGCAAAGCTCAGTCCCGGGAAGCTCTGGCACCTGCAGTTCCTGTTTGTCTCCGTTAGTCTGAATGGGCCCACGGGTAGAGCTGCTCTTTGTGCTCCCCGTGGACGTATGTCCGTGGGAACATTCTGGAAGGGCTGGCCATTTATCCAATCAGCCGCATCACCGTGGCACTGACTCAGCTCAGTGCCCCCCTCCAAAAAAGACGTGTAAAGCGCAGACAAGGTAGACAACCGGAGGGTATCAACCAATCATGCAGTCACCACCAGGTCAGCTGATGCTCCGCCAAAGTTAAGGATGCACGCTCTATGTCTGTGTGTGTGTGTGTGTGTGTGTGTGTGTGACAGATTGACGCCCTGTCCGTGGCGTGCCCCAGCCCTGTGCCCTATATCGCACTGTAAAAAGGCATGTGTGTCTTTAAGAGAGTGAGAGTGTGCGTGTTTGAAGCCAGATGCCCTGCCTAATACTTTTGTCACAGCCTGCTCCCACAAACCTCTATTTTTTCCAGAAACTTCAGTGCAGACACACGCAAACTCCAGAAAGCCAGGAAAATAAGACAAAGTGATGAACACACGGCTGTGAAGAACTACAAATATCTAACATGCATTTACGTCAAAAGATGAGGGTACTGTGTTCTGCCAGGGGGGAGACAGTAGGAGGATAGACAGCACGCTCCCGAGGCGATGAAGCGGCTGGGCTGTGTGAGGCGGAACAGGCATTCCGAGCAGAAGCCAAAGGGCGTTTCTCAGTCAATAAGAGCACCGATCTGCCGTTTCCGCCATGTTTCAGACAGCTGATGCTGGGAAGGGCTTCCCTTCAGCTCAGAGTCCCCACAGAGTCCCCACAGATTCCCTGCAGAGTCCCCACAGAGTCCCTGCAGAGTCCCAGTCCTTCCAGAAAACACACTCATAGTATCAACCTAATTTACTTCCTGCCCTTTTAAATAAGACTGCTTCTAACTATGTGTGTGTGTGTGTATATTCAGAAAAACAAAAAGGTGACAAATTGAACGGACTGCAAACCGAAATCTAATTTTAATAAACAAATCATACGGAAATAAACATTTTTGTCTTAGGGATTAACCCTGGAAAGCACTGACAGTATGAGTTGTTGTTAGGATTTTTCTCTGACTGGCTCGCTGAACAGGTTTGATTAGTGCTGGACAATATGCTGTAAAAATGAAAACATTTTCAGATTTTCCACAGTATTCTAAAATTCATATGTAGAAAGCAGTACAACATGACAGGTGATTTACCTCTGAAACTATGTAGATCAAAGCTCCACTTAGCTGAAGTCATTAGCCTGTGGTCGTCACATGATGTGAGTCATGGGGGTGCCTAAATCAGTATACGGGCATGCGCAAGAGATTCATATGCACCAGCAGTCAGGTCCTTTTCGGTTAATTCCCAAGCAAAAATGCCCAATCACAACTATTTGAAGGAGACAGAAGAGGAAGGAAAGCTGAAAATGATGCTACGGCCTGCACAATCAGCTCACCTCAACCCCACTGAGCCATTCTTACATGAAATGGACAAAAAGGCCTAAGCTAAACATGGAGATGATGTGCCACAGCAGTGCTGGAGTGAACTTGCAGAAAAATACCTTAAGTCTTTTAATAGATCGTCCAGAGATTGTTCAGAAGTAATCACAGCAAAAGGTGGCTATTTGTTACATTTGTGGTGTTTATCATTTGTCTGGTATTTACCTTAATTAAGTGGCATTTTGTAATGCTTTCATTTTGCATGTGGCACAATACTGCTGGATCTGTAATAAGACACAAAAAAACGCCAAAACAAAAAACGTATGACTGGCAGTGTATGAATGGCTGGTGCATTAACACACAGCATGCATCAAACTGTCACAGTGACAGCGGGCCAAAGGCGCTTAAGGAGAGGCCAGGGGGCTCCATCAGGCCAGCATCTTTAGGGCAGGTCTGTGCAAACCCTCAGCGGTGCTGGCCAGGCTCTGCGCAAACCCTCAGCGGTTTGCGCTCAAAGTCATGCACACACAGGTCACATTCCAGCCAGTCCAAATTAGCAAAAGCTGTGGATCAGCCTGCCTTTTCTCCAGACAGTCCACATTTACCAGCCCCCGCACGGCTCTAATTAACACTGCTTTCCTTGGCCTTGTGTTGCACACTGCACAGTGTTAAAAATAGTAAAATCACACACTGGGTCAAAAGCCTGGAGCAGGCAGCATGTTTAGAACAATTAGTCAATTTTTAATGAAAAAGATCCTCCAGCTAAATGACAGACCTGCAGCTTCCAGTGATGATTTACACGTGTAAATACACACAGCCTATATTACTGAGCACTGCGGAGCTATATGAGCTACACGGACATCACCAATTTTGAAGGGAATTAGTGGCGTAATCATGTTTGAACTGCATTCTACCCAGGTAACACTGCAATAGCAATGTTCACCTACTCACAATGGTGCAATGCCTCATGTTTCTCAGTACTGAAAAATACTTCTGGGCTTTACTTTTCCTTTAAGCAAGAGAAGCATGAAGACCAGCAAAGCTTATCTACCTTCGGTGACCATATTTAGTTCACCATTTGTGCCTCAATCAGAATTTTAATCTGACAATTTCATGACTGTGTTTTAAATTTAACCGGTCAAACAGAAGCCATTTGGGTAAACATATCCAAAAATATCCAAGCCTACTCTTCCGAAGAGGAGAGAGTCTATTCTACTGAAGAGGAGGGAGTCTACTCTACTGAAGAGGAGGGAGTCTACACTACCGAAGAGGCGGGAGTCTACTCTACCGAAGAGGAGGGAGCCTACGCTACCGAAGAGGAGGGAGTCTACTCTACCGAAGAGGAGGGAGCCTACACTACCGAAGAGGAGGAAGTCTACGCTACCGAAGACGAGGGAGTCTACGCTACCGAAGAGGAGGTAGTCTACTCTACCGAAGAGGAGGGAATCTACCCTACCGAAGAGGAGGGAGTCTACTCTACCGAAGAGGAGGGAGTCTACTCTACCGAAGAGGAGAGAGTCTACCCTACCGAAGAGGAGGGAGTCTACTCTACCGAAGAGGAGAGAGTCTACTCTACCGAAGAGGAGGGAGTCTACCCTACCGAAGAGGAAGGAGTCTACCCTACCGAAGAGGAGGGAGTCTACTCTACCGAAGAGGAGAGAGTCTACTCTACTGAAGAGGAGGGAGTCTACCCTACCGAAGAGGAGGGAGTCTACCCTACTGAAGAGGAGGGAGTCTACTCTACTGAAGAGGAGGGAGTCTACCATACCAAAGAGGGAGTCTGGGGATAAAAGGAGAGAACCTACCCTTTTGCGCAGGTTGCAGGTGAGGATGAGGTTACGAGAGAAGGAGTTGGCGAAGGCCGTGTAGAAGTCCAGAACCTTCAGCAGGGCCTCCCGGCGGATGATGTGCAGGTCACAGTAGGTCAGTGCTCGCACGTTGGCACAAGCATGGGCCAGGGTGGTCTCCTTCCAGAACACATCACCGAAAACATCCCCCTTGCCTGGGGTAGGAAGTGAAGGAAAGAACGATAATCATTAGCACCATAATCACTGGCCATTGTCATCCCATGCTTAGTACCAAAGCAAAAATATTGTGCTGTTAGTGTTCAGAAATCATAGCATTTTGTTGAATAGCTCAATGACGGCACATGGCAATGAAAAGCAGGTGCTAATAATTCTTGGAAAGAATCTCCTAAGATATTTTTATCATTGATTCAAATGATTTAAACAGCACTTTGGAAAGATTCAGCGCAATCTACAGTACAGCACGTCTTAGCTGGGGGTTGGATCCAGCAGCGGAAAGGAGCTCTGTATATCTTCCAAATCGGTAGTTATGGCTTAAACCACTGACCAAGTGCTCTACACACCTGCAGGGGACGGTTTGACATTTTTAAGTCAAACACTAATAAGCATTTAGTTACATCCATCTATCTTCCATCCAAATTCCCACTGCTAATCCTGATTGGTTTGTGTGTGTGTGCGTGTGCGTAACTATTTTCTAAATGCCTAGTAAAGCACACACTAGATATTGTTATGTTAGGAGAGGTCTGGAGAGGAAGATGTGAGGGGGGTCTGCAATTATAGAAGTGCAGTCATGTAGGTTTGGACACAAGAAAAATGAATCAGCTTCTGAAAACTGAAATTCTTGTCATTGCTGTTGGGATAGTTCTTGTATTGCCAGGAAATCATCTGCAAAGGCACAATGCAAATCTGCAAATTTCTCCATAAAACAAAGTCAGCTACCAAGATGTCTTAACGGATTTGTACATTTTATACTGTCATGAATAAAAATGCTGCTTTAAATGACAAATGAAAATATTACTACCCATGTAACCTACTCATTGCAGGCCAGGGCATATAAACATATAATTTTTGAGAGTAAATTAGGTACATCTTCAGGGATGAGGGTGGTGAGGGAAAAGCCATGAATGAATAATATCCTTGCGAGTGAGGGGCGTGGCCTGTGCGAGTTTCAGGAGGACGGCCCACATGACAATGACTATTCGTATTGATTACTTCCACCGACTCCATCTTCTTAAAAAAGTTCCCCAGATTCCACTGACAGTCTTGAGATTCTTCCACAGATGTGAAGCTAGTGCCCTGTCTGGTGTTTCTCTGTGCTTCACATGTTCTCGCGCTAAGCTGGCTGGCTGCCAAACTCACTTAGCGTAGCAGCCCAAATGGCTTATTAGCTAAAGCTTAGCAACTGTCCAAGAGTCACACACTTAAGGCAAAGAAACCTGTATGACTTTTTAATGACCTCACAGATGTGATCCCAATGAGTATTTATGATCCGTTTAGTGACCAATTAGGCACCTTCATTCAGGAGCAGCTCCACACGTCAAACAAAATAACTCAAATTAAACAAGTATTTAGGACTCATCAGCACATTTCTTGAGCACATGTCCTGTTCCTTAAATCATAAGAAAAGTGGATAATTTCGAGGCTCCGTGCAAAACTGAAGACTTTGCGATAATACTAAAAAATACCAGAAGCTTAAGTGCTTATGAAATAATTTCCCGTTCTGCGGGGATCTGGAGTCATGGCAGAGGATCTCACCACAGATGAACTGGCCCAGTGAGTGAAAAGTTTGTGACCCTGCTGTTGTACTTCTCATGTTTTTCCTGAGGGGCTTCAGTTCGTGTTTATATATAAGAAGCGATATGTATGCTATGAGCTTCCTTTGACTGAGGCTAAGTCCACGGCTCCAAGAGTGATGTCTGCATCCTAGTGGACAGACACAGGTCTGTAGTCTGTGTAGGAGGTGAACACGGGTCCGTAGTCTGTGTAGGGGGTGTACACAGGTTTGTAGTCTGTGTAGTGGGTGGACACGGGTCTGTAGTCGGCATAGTGGGTGGACACGGGTCTGTAGTCGGCATAGTGGGTGGACACGGGTCTGTAGTCGGCATAGTGGGTGGACACGGGTCTGTAGTCTGTGCAGTGGGTGGACACATGTTTGTAGTCTGTGTAGTGGGAGGACACGGGTCTGTAGTCGGCATAGTGGGTGGACACGGGTCTGTAGTCTGTGTAGTGGGTGGACACGGGTTTGTAGTCTGTGTAGTGGGTAGACACAGGTTTGTAGTCTGTGTAGTGGGTAGACACAGGTTTGTAGTCTGTGTAGTGGGTAGACACGGGTCTGTAGTCTGACTCCGTAAAATGGATGCAGGTTCCAAACTGCTTTCTGACCAGTGTGAGCTCAGAGGCGCTACAACTCTAACAGCAAAAATGTCATCTGCTGGATATTTTTTCAGTTTCTATACAGTATATATTTTTATATGTTTTTTCTATATATATATATGTGGCCTGTTTATTCCTGAAATGAAATTAGGGAAAAAATATCATAAGGACAGAGATGTTTTATTTTACTAAGAAAAATACAGCCAGAGAAAGGATATAGTGTTCTTTTGCAAACAGCAATCGGATATCATTTGTCATGAATAGCACAGCGTTCCTCACACTGTAGCTGCACTCCTCAGAATGTTCATGTTTCCGGCCAGATCCTCACTCTCGGCCCTGGTCACTGGGCCTTCGATCAGTGGTGCAGCTTCACATATCAAAACTGCAGGTAGAGGAGCAGTACATCGATTTCCACATGTGTTCCTCTCGCTTCCGCTCTGCTTCAATTCTGTAGGCTACTCTTTAATTAAGTACTAAGTGTGTTGTCATGGTCTCATTATTGGTGATGATCAGCGAGTCTTCAGGCTGATTTGCCAGAAGTTTGGGAGGAACACGATGCCATTGTGGAAGCTGTACAGTTATTCAAGCCATAGGGTGAGGGTTTGCCAACAAGTCTGTTTCGATGCTCTGTGTGAGACCAGCAACCGTAACTCACAGATGGGTATTTGCAGCCTTTCCAGCTCTGAGCTGCTCGTAAATTACTTAAACCACTAGCTTGTAACAGAGCTATAAAACACAGACAGGCAATGTAGTGGAAATGAAAAAGATAGAATGTGCACTTGTCAATAATGGATAAGAGGGCACCTTATAGCCATTCTCCATAGTGCTGGCGAAGCACTTGAGGTTCCTGTATGCGTGAGAAGCCCTGGCCACTGGGGGTCTCTGTTCATGCTGAGCACAGCGCTGTGTGTTGGGATGGGGGCCTGTAGCCCACAGAGACCCCGGAGATGTACTGTTCTGGTTTCTCACGTGTGCCCCTTCACCTGTGTGTTCATTCTGTACATACCCCCTTCGGCCGAGGGTGCCTGCCACAGTGCAAACCATACTTAGTCATCATACATTTCATATAAAGCAGCCCGGAACTGCAGGTGCCGTATTACTGCCGCGTTCTGTTATGTCTCCCAGAATCTTGCCTGCCTTTACGCAGCGTCAAGATCAACAGGGCACGCCTCGGGAATTCTAACACAAGAGAATAAGTTTCTGGAAAGACGGGTCACGGAAAAGCCCCGAGGCTGTACGCATCCCTCTCTATCCGAGATGTGAGAACAGCAGCGGGGTCAGCAGAATCGTGGGGCCCCTCGGGGGAAGATCCTGCTCTGACTCCTTCAGCTGGACTCAGATTCACTGGTGAAGCACAAGGCGATGCTGCTTTGGTTTACAGGCTACCAAAGCAATGTGAAATATTAAAGTCCTGTCAGGGAAACGCACTGGCTGCGCGGTGGGACATGGGTGGTGCGCGCTGCACGTAAACGGGGATGTAAGACGAAATCCCGCTTATCACCACGAAGACTCACCAAGAATAGCGATGACCTCGTCGTCTTGGATGACCTCCAGAGAGCCGGACACCACGAAGCATAGTGTGTCCACGCTCTCGCCGGCGTGGAAGATGAGGTCGCCGGGGGCGCAGTGGATGGTCTGGAACTCAACGGCCAGGGAGCGGAGACAACCGTCACTGGCCAGCCGGAATGCTGGGTGCTCGTTGAAGACCTGCCGGTTGAGGTGGACACAGATGTCCGCCCGCATGTCCTTGGGACAGATGGAAAGTACCTAGGGACAGACCAAAACCTCCTTCACATAGTGTCTCCTCACAAAGACGAAGCGCACTACAGTTTGGACACAGATTCCCGAGCAGCAGTGGTTCTGACTCTGGGGTCGATGGACCCCCGAAGGGGTTAGGAAATCTCATCACGAGCGGCATGAGATGAGATTTAGAAGAATGAAATGTATGTTTGATGTAAATAGAACATCATATAAGTCACCACTGTGATGCAGGTGTGCAACAGCTCACACTGAGATGCAAAACCAAGAACCACTTTCTGCTTACTTTTGACTTACATTTAAAGAATTATTTGTCCTGCTGCACCAGTGACAGAAAGCAAAATCTTTAAAAAAAGATAATGTTGTTAGATTTTATGTCATTTCACCAGCACTCATAAATGTTTAATTCACTGAATTTCCAACAGCAGACAAACATCAACCACATTCATTCGCTGCCCTGCCCCCATGACCGGTTATTCCTTGGGCATCGATCGCATCAGAACAGATGAGCAGGTCTTTGCAATGTCATGCTGTTTCACCCAAGCGAGCGCTCGGCACCCCAGACACAAAACGACTGTCAGGTTCAGAAGTCAACGGCAAATATTTAAGTCCTTCTTGGAGGGAAGTATATTTGTTTACTTTGTTCCCATTTGTACCGGAAAAACTCTACCGCTGTTATTTTCAGCCGCATGCAAAATCGCTCATGACATGGGCTGTCATGTTCAACTAATCGATAATCAGTCACTTCAGGAATGTTATCGATCGAGTCAAGAAAGAAAAGCTAAAAAGGACGAAGTCATCAATAAACTCCTTAATATTTAATTGTAACAGCACTCCCTCCTAAGTCGGGCTGCCTGAGGGTCTGAAGCATTCACGGGAAAAGAGATCGACATTGTGAGGCAGTGAGATCTGTGAGGCAGCTTGGAGGCAGAGTGCCTCATTTAACCCCCCTCCCTCCATAACCTGAGGCCATATGCTGCCCTTGGCCTTCGCATATGTTGACTGATACTTTTCTGGGGTGTGTGGGTGGGGTGGCAGCTGTACAATCCAGCCACTCAGTGATTATGAATACAGTATAAGGACCTGCCCATATTATTTGAACTCATTGTTCTTTCTTATGGCGTTAATGTCATGGGTCCTCTAGCATTCAGTTTAAACCCTGCAATACGGCATCTTTCAGATTAAGATTAAGTTTGACTTTATTGATCCAAGGGAGAAATTCTGCATGATACCTCAAATAACCAATTTTAGTTGGAGAGGTGTTAATAGTCAGTCAGCTAGCAGTAGAAAGCTAGCTAACCACTGTGCTGCTGTGCTGTGCAGACGTCGATTATACTATCTCCATGTAACCGCAGTGCTGTTTCTTATATTTGGATGTTCTCCATGACTAATAATGATGCTAATCGGTGTTTTGCAAATGCATGCGCTCCCTGTAGCTTTGCCGCAAGCTGGTGTGTTTCATATGCACAATGAGGTGACAAGGAGGCATAAGATCAGGTTATGTTCTGTGAATTACTAATGAAAAGCCCATTTCCAGTCCGTACTTGATCCACATACTCTTCTTAGATGGTGACTAATCTCCACTGTTTAAAAACCTCTTTAAAAAACAACAGTACGCAAAATAGGGATTTAAATGCCAGAGAAAATGAAACACAACGTAGTCGACTTAAACACTTTAAACAGGTGAGGGACCCTCGCTAATCAATGACTCTGAAAGCCGTCGGTCTGGCAGATTGTTTTGCATGGAGCCAGAAGAGGCAAGGAAAATATTATTCATGCACTGGATCATGACACTACGCTCAGTGACCATTAATACATCAAAGTGATTCTCAGAAATATCAAAAGCTGCATAAAAATCAGTAATTACACGCTGACATTTATTGGAAATTAAATGAAAGACCTTAATATTTCATTCCGTGTTATAGCCTTCACATTCAGAATGTTACCAAAGGCATTTAGAGAGAAAGGCAACAGGAGCCCATGTCTCAGCTTCCTGAGAAGAGAGAAAACAAAACCCATGTACTAAATAAATGAATACTGGAAATTCCAGTGTGATTTACACATTTTATAATAATATACTGTATATAAAACTATTTCTAAATGATTATTTATAAACTTTTTAGCTATATGTAGCACTGAATTTGTTGAAAAACCTTGGACCTCATCCAGTACAGTCAAGCACGTGCCTCTTAATTAGCTGGTGAACATGCTGCTGTGATGATCCACCGAGTGGACCTCCTCCAGTCTCAGGCAGTGGCCAAATTAAATGGCAGATCAATTCAACAATTCCACATACACTGTACAGGATCTGTTAGAGACCTGACATCCATCAGCCAGTCTTCAAGGACAACATTGCCCATAATGCTCAGGGTACACCTACCTTCTCGGTGTCAATGCCCTTAGTCATGGCCCAGGTGGAAACGATGTAGTCCATCACCCTTTCACTCAGGCCCTTGGGCACTTGGTAGAGCTTGAGGAAGTCACGCACATTGTTGAGCATCTCGTGGTACCGATTAGTGTTGGTGTACATTTGCTGGAAGATGGTTGTCACATTCCCAAAAATGGTGGCATACAGGAGAGCTGGAATGAAAACATGGTGATTGTCACCCTCTTGCCGACTCTCACATTCGAAATAAATTTTTAAATATTTCCCACTTGCCAGATTGAATAACCTCGGGTCCAGCTAAGGAGTATCCAACTCCATTAAGAACAAACATATGAACAGCAGTCCCACTGTATCCACAGGTGATACGTTCCAAGACCTATCGCGGATGGGCAAAAACGTGCACTCCAAATATAGTCTGATTTTCACCTACATACCTATGGTAAATTAAGTGATAAATTACACACTGTAAGACGTAACCAACATTAAACACAGTAATAATAAAGTACATTTTACATTATTACATAGTACTGTACAGTAGAATACTACACTCTCTTGGATGAAAGGGATTCTGATGTTTTAGCCTGATTCTCAAGAGACAATAGCGCAATGATATCAAGGCATGACAGCACAATGAAATTAATGCTTTGCATACATTGTTTTAATAGACACTGTGATAAAGTGGCAATGAATGTGATCAGGAGGACCGCAGACTGGGCAGACTGGGTGAAAGTTCTGCTGGGAAGCGTGGGTACAGGGACAATGGGAGATGAGTCACATACTGGGTGTGACTGGGCTGGCAGGTTTCACTGTGTTACAGCCTGCCCTCGTGTGGCGCGCTTTCAAACTTAGGAACTGGTTATTTATGGAGTTCTCCAATTTTTTAACGAAAACCACAGTTACTGAAATGGGGGCCCCACTGTATATATTTAGAAATTGTCAAAATAAAATATAAAACATGCTTTTAATTTACTAGAAAAAGCAACTAAATACACCATATTACCAAAAGTGGGAACAGTTTGGGGATGGCCCCCTTCCTAATCCAACATTGACTGCGCACCAGTGCACAAAGCAAGGTCCATAAGGACATGGATGGGTGAGTCTGGTGTGGAGGAACTTGACTGGCCTGCACAGAACCCTGACCTCAATCCGATAGAACACCTTTGGATGAATTAGAGCAGAGACTGCGAGCCAGGCCTTCTTGTCCAACATCAATGCCTGACCTCACAAATGCTGTCCTGGAAGAAAGGTCAAAAATTCCCATAAACACACTCCTAAACTTTGTGGACAGCCTTCCCAGAAGAGTTGAAGCTTTCATATCTGCAAAGGGTGAACCAACTCCATATTAAAGCCTATGTATTAAGAATGGGATGTCATTAAAGTTCATGTGTGTGTAAAGGCAGGTGTCCCAATACTTTTGCCAATAATAGCGTATGTCTCAAATTATCTGATTGTGTCTAATATACTGACGATGCCAAGAATGAACATTAAGACACTGGGACAGGCAGAGAAGTAAATCCACTGCGGAAATTACAGAGTTGATGTGTTAAGAGTCTGAGTCTGAACTGGATCTGGGCCCAAAGTTGTTCAGAAATCTCCACAGATCTGTAAACTGGATCTGGTCTGGCCCGTACATGGTTAAGAGTCAAAAGTTAAATTCAGATCCAATTCAAGTGGAGCTGGTGAGTGGCTCAGTTGGCTAAGTCTCTGTGCTTGTGATCAGAAGTTTGTGGTTGGTGGTTCAAGCCTGACCTCCGCAGAATAGTTACCGGGCAGGCCCTTGAACTCACTGACTGACCCTGTAGAGAGAATGTGCGTGCGCGTGCGTGTGTGCGTGCGTGCGCGTGCGCGTGCGTGTGTGCGTGTGTGCGTGTGCGTGTGTGTGTGTGTTCTCACTACAGAATCAGCCAGTGTGCTCAAGGACCTGCCCTGTAACTATTCTGCGGAGGGCAGGCTTGAGCCACTGACCTGATCACAGCACAGAGGTTAAACCACTCACCACTCTCTTTTTTTTTTGCCTAAAAATGGCAAAAAAAGGATTCCCACACATGCAGCAGCTGAGTGCTAGGATTCAGGCCCTTGCTCTAGGGTCTGCCCTGTGACTAGTCTGCCAAGGCTGGGTTTGAACCAGTGACCTTCTGATTACAGGTACAGAGGCTTAGCCTACTGAGCCACTTGCACTCCTCTGCATGTGTTCTGTATATCGTGTATATGTTTTTTTTTTTCCCATTTCATGACAAATAAAGGATTCACTCACATGTAGTACCTGTCTCTGAGTGCTCAGGTTAAGGGTCCGCTCTGTGACTAATCTGGTGAGGCAAGGCTTGAACCAGTGACCTTCTGATCATAGGTACAGAGGATTAACCTGCTGAGCCACTCACCAGTATTCTGGTGCTTATGTATATTGTGTATATGATTTTTTCCCCCTTTCTTGACAAATAAAGGATTTACACATGTGTAGCACCTCTCTCTGAGTGTTAGAGTTGCAGCCCTTGCTCTGGGGTTTGCACTGTGAGTGTTCCGCCCAGTCCGGGCTTGAACCAGTAACCTTCTGATCACAAGTACAGAGGCTTAGCCTACTGATCCACTCTCCACTCCCCAGGTTGCTCTGTATATCGTGTATATGGTTATATGTTTTTTTCCTTGACAAATAAATGATTAAAGCCTATGTATTAAGAATGGGATGTCATTAAAGTTCATGTGTGTGTAAAGGCAGGTGTCCCAGTACTTTTGGCAGTATAGTGCATGTTCTATCTTCTCCTGGTAACTTCTTCTGTCACCCAAGCTGGTTGTATCAGTGGCTAAGTACATTGAGTGGGTAAGAAGGTTATACATTTTATAATATTACAATACTAAAATTATCCAAATAACACTGAAAATGTGTTTTAAATTGCAAAATTTTAGTAATGATTTATTTCAAAGTTACTTGTTTCATAATTTAATCTCAAATAAAAAGCAGGTACCTTCTCTACCTCTGTGGACCAGCCATCTCTGTTATAAAGTCCCTAATGTCAAAACCAACTTGATGTCATTGAGTGAATAATACTACATAGGAGCAGAGATTAATCACCATGACAACCAGGAATCTCCAGCCCAGTTCCAGCGGTGCGGCTCATTTCGCCTCACAGTATATATGTGTATGATAAAGAAAGAGAATCACAGAATGAGACTGGTTTGCTGGAGGGTGCTGATATCTCACATCCAGAGTGGTACCTAGGAATTCTGGCCTCCCGCCAAATCATACATATTTTTTTACGTATTCAAGGCTCTCTGTAAAGTACTGGGCCCCCTAAATCTGCTAGGATAACAGGGACCCTCCGACACCCTGCGCACACCTCCAAGGTTGGGGCTTGAAACTCACCGCTGCTCTGTGTGCAGAGATTGCAGTCTAAAGGTGAGCAATTAGGCTCAGTGACATCTCTAAATCACCCATACTGTAATTCAGCCTTGTGCCCTGTGCTGACTGGCACCCTGTGTAAGGAGAGCCACAACCCTGTGCCCTGAGCTGACTGGCACCCTGTGTAAGGAGAGCCACAACCCTGTGCCCTGTGCTGACTGGTACCCTGTGCAGGGAGAGCCACAACCCTGTGCCCTGTGCTGACTGGCACCCTGTGTACGGAGAATCACAGCCTTGTGCCCTGTGCTGACTGGCACCCTGTGTAAGGAGAGCCACAACCTTGTGCCCTGTGCTGACTGGAACCCTGTGCAGGGAGAGCCACAACCCTGTGCCCTCTGCTGACTTGTACCCTGTGTAAGGAGAACCACAACCTTGTGCCCTGTGCTGACTGGAACCCTGTGCAGGGAGAGCCACAACCCTGTGGCCTGTGCTGACTGGCANGTGTAAGGAGAACCACAACCTTGTGCCCTGTGCTGACTGGAACCCTGTGCAGGGAGAGCCACAACCCTGTGGCCTGTGCTGACTGGCACCCTGTGTAAAGAGAGCCACAGCCCAGTGTCCTGTGCTGACTGGAACCCTGTGCAGGGAGAGCCACAACCCTGTGTCCTGTGTTGACTGGCACCCTGTGTAAGGAGAGTCACAGCCCTGTGTCCTGTGTTGACTGAGACAGGCTCAGGGCCCCTGAGACACTAGGAGAGAGACAGAAACACCTTGGTCAGCAGATGTATGTATATTATATATACATGAAGCATTGCTATATTGGAAGCGACATGGTGGTGCAGTGGTTAGCACTGTGACCTCAGACCTCTGGGTCCAAGGTTTTAGTTTCCACCATGGCTCTCTGTGTGTGGAGTTTGCATGTTCTCCCTGCATCATCGTGGGGTTTCCCCCCACAGTCCAAAAACATGCTTAGGTTAATTGGAGTTACCAAATTGGTGTGAATGTGCCCTGTGATGGGTTGGTGCCCCATCCTAGGTTATTCCCTGCCTTGTGCCCATAGTCTCTGGGATATACACCAGAACGCCCAAGACCCTGAAGAGGACAAGCAGTTACAGAAGATGGATGGATGGATAGATGTCTAGATAGATGGATGGATGCTCAAACAAACAGTATAGTTGGGACCTGGGTCCCTGCCAGTTGTCTTAAATATTCAGCAAAGTGCAGCAGATGTTAGCATTTGCTTGTGTTTTGCTGCTCCTAGGCAGAAGCTTCACAGCCGCCATTTAGCACAGCCGTCAGCGGGCGGGACGCCGGCTTTGGCTCTCCGCTCGTCGCTCTCTGCCGTCCCCCTCACAGTCGCCATTTAGCACAGCCGTCAGTGGGCAGGACGCCGGCTTTGGCTCTCCGCTGGTCCCTCTCTGACGTCCCCATCACAGTCGCCGTTTAGCACAGCCGTCAGCGGGCGGGACGCCGGCTTTGGCTCTCCGCTCGTCGCTCTCTGCCGTCCCCCTCACAGTCGCCGTTTAGCACAGCCGTCAGCGGGCGGGACGCAGGCTTTGGCTCTCCGCTGGTCCCTCTCTG